TCTGAGATGAACAGGAAAATAAGCAAGCTTCCCTAGTCAAGATCTTTTCCCTTTCTTATCCCATATAGACCCTACAAACTGCTCTCAGAGACATGGTTCTCATGCAAGCGAACTCAACTCTGCAATCATCTGTTTTTCCACAGAAACAGAGTGATTGGATGAAAGAATTATTGTAGATCAGTTCTGAATGATTTTGCCATAGAAAACCCTAGAAAAGCCACACAATGTTATAATATTAGTCAACAACTCATGATTCCCTATCAAATGAATGGTATAGACATGTAGTATGAGTTAAAAGAAGTAATTACTTGACAATTTTTTCATGGAAGAATCATAGAATTTTCAAGTTTTAAGGAACCTCACCACCATCATCACCACCACCACCATCATCATCACATCTATATAATGCTTTAAGGTTTACACACTGTTTCATGTATGTTTTCTATTTGGTCCTGACTATAACATTGTTTTGCAGTTACTTTTTTTATCCCTACTTTCCAGGTAAGGAAACTGAGGTGGCAAGAGGCTAAATGATTTACCCAGAGGCACATGGATGGTAAGGGTTAGAAATCAATGTTTGAACTCAGACCAAACTATAAATATCAGGTATGAAATATCCTTCAAATAATTCATCCAGGATCTGCTTGAAGACTTCTAGTGAAGGAGAACCCAAGAGCTGGTGCTTTAGTTGAATCATGAAGCAAAGGCAGAGTTTCTAAATAGGGAAAATAATGTGAGCAAAGACTCAGAGGTGAGAAAATTTGGGAAATAGTGAATAATTTGGCTACCATGAGAGTTTACATAAAACAATACTGGTAGTTAAGAATAAACAGGTATAGTGGGTCCAGATGGTAGAGGACATTAATACCAGAATAAAGACAAAAATGGGGAGTCATTGGAGGTTTTTTGAGGAAGTAATAAATGCAATAACCCCTCTTAATGGAAGATTGCTCTTCATCTTCTGATCTAATGTAGTACCTTGAATCTGTTTTACTCTACTTTTCTACTAAGTCTTGGAAGACATACATGTGTCTTCCCTCTCACTAGATTGAGAGCTCAGTAAGGAAAGGGATCTTGTATCTTCATGTTCTCCAACACCTACCACATAGCAGGCACTCAAATATTTGTAGAATGAATGGATAAATGAATGAAGTAGGCAAAGAGTTTGTTTCAGAGCAAGAAGATCTGAATTCAGTTTCCACCTCTGATATATACTGGCTGTGTGACTCTGGGCTTGTCTTTTAATCTATCAAAGTCTCAATAAATTCTCTAAGGCTAAAAGTTGGAAAGCAAGTACTGCTCTGCATAGTAGGAATTTCCTCATTGGGAATCCACTGTAACATCAAAATCATAGGTATAGTTCAAACAAACATGGAGGCAATTTGTGGGTTAGATTGGTTAGAAGATAGGAAGAAGAAAGAATGACCCATTGGAAGGTTATGCTATAATTAAGTTATATTATGTTGGAAGGTACAATATCACAAACTGAGAGGCAACAAAAACACTGAATGTGGGTGGTAATGTACAGAAGTCCAGGGAAGATTTGTGGAAAAAATAAATAGCACGTGGCAACTAATTGGAGATAAAGGCATAGGAGTGGGCAGAATAAAAATGATTGTAAAGTTTTGACTTCAGAAACTAGCAAAACCAGAATACTTTGTGCAGATATGCAGAAGTCACAAGTAGGTTACAGTTTGGCAGGAAGGGAGATGGCTTTGGTTTTAGAAATAGATTCAGTTTTACATGATAGGAAAGCAATTAAAGATTCAAGACAAGACTTGGAGAATAAGTCAAGGCTGAGATAAATTCTTAGAAGTCATCTGCATAGAGATGACAGTTCTGAGAATGAATAAAGTAAAAAAGGGGGAAGGAGGCAAAAAGACAGGGTGGGAGGGAAGAAGGAGAGAAAAAGAGAGGGACAGAGACAGAGGGAAGGTCAGAGACAAAGAAAAGCACAGAGGATTGAATCATAATTTAGGGAGACAGTAAGGGAACAGGAGATGATGAAGGAGACAGTAGAAGAACCAAAATAGGAAAGAGTCACAGAAAATGAGAGCTTTTAAAAAGGCTTGGTCAACAGTGTTAAATGTTATAGGGAAATTAAGAGGGATGTCTGAAAAAAAAGCTTGTTAGACACTTCCATCTTGAAGCCAACTAGCTAAAAGCTAGATTATCAGTGCTTCTGATAATCTATGATGCCCAAATGTATGCTACAAAAAGATCCATCCCTGAATCTATACTATCCAAGTCTAAGGCATTTGGTAAAGATATTTTAAAAATTAAATTTAATTTTTCAATTAATAAAAATCTATAGCCTCTCCTAAACACAGTAAGAACAAAATCCTTGTAACACATATGCATAGTCATCAAAATTAATTCCAGTATTGACCAGATCTAAAAATATGTTTCATTCTGTACTCTGAGACCACAACCTATATATGGGTGGGCAGCATGTTTCATCATCAGTACTCTAGAATCATGACTGGTCATTCCACTGAGCAGAGTCCTTAACCCCTTTAAAGTTGTTTGTCCTTGTAATACAGCTTTTGCATAAATTGTTGTCTCAACTCTGGTTATTTTACTCTGTATCAATTCATGTAAGTCTTCCCAGGTTTCTCTGAAACTGTTCCTTTCATAATTCTTACAAAATAATAACATTCCATTATAGTTCTATACCATAATTTATTTAGCCATTCCTCATTTGCTGGCCACTCCTTTGCTTTCTAGTTCTTTGCCACAACATGAAATTGCTATAAATACAATTGGAACATATGGGTCCTTTTTCTTATTCTTTGTTGTTTTTTTTTTGGGGGGAAGGGGCATATATAGGTCTAGTAATGGTATCAGGAGGTCAAAGGACATTTACAGTTTAGAAACTTTTGAGCATAATTCTATATTGGTTGCCAGAATAACTAGACTAGTTCAGAACTATACCATAATGCACTGATGTCCCTGCTTTCCTACAGATCTTCTAACATTTGTCCTTTTGCTTTTTTGTTAACGTTGCCAACCTATTGGGTGTGAGGTGGAACCTTGAAGTTATTTTAATTTGTCTTTCTCTAATTATTACTGATTGTAGCATTTTATTCATATGGCTGTCACTAATTTAGATCTTGCTGCCTTTTCATATCCTTTTACCATTTATCATTTGGGGAACATTTAATAAAGTTTTAAAGTTATTGAATTAGTATACCTTTATAGTACTACATTTCACCAGTACTGTCAATTCAGAGATTTAAATTCCACACTCTTGGGGCAGCTAGGTGGGGCAGTGGATAGAGCACCAGCCCTGAAGTCAGGAGGACCTGAGTTCAAATGCGGCCTCAGACCAAACACTTGACACTTGCTAGCTGTGTGACCCTGGGCGAGTCACTTAACCCCAATTGCCTAAAAGCCATGAATGAATGAATAAGTAAATAAATAAATAAATTCCACACTCTTGTACCAAAAGTCTGGTGAGAGCAAACTCACCAGTTTGGCATATTGATTCAATTTACAATGGATACCTCTCCTTTGGACTGAATGAGAAATTTGCATTTTGTTGTCCATTTCTCATAGGTAAAAAAGTGCTCTTTCCAACATTGTCAGCATCAAGATGTTTTTTCTAGACTGGGAGTTTTTTTTAAAAAAAGAAGACGAAAGGTTCTGAATTTTTGTTTGGATAAATGAGGAAATGCTAATGCCTCTGAGGGATAACTCATCATGGTGTGGAGATAACTCTTGATTGCTAAAGCTATGTTATCAAACTATAAGCTATGGGAGGTGCTACCAAGCTGGAATGGTTTTGAATTTAGGTCCAGGAGTCTGCTCAGTGATACAGTGGATAGAGCCTGGAGTCAGAAAGTACTGTGTTCAACTGCAGCCTCAGCTGTGTGACCCTAGGCAAGTTACTTAATCTCTCTTTGCCTTCAGTTCCTCATCTATAAAATGGGGACAATGATAGCATCTACCTTCCAGGGTTGTTTTGAGGATCAAATGAGATATATGTAAAGTACTTTGCAAAACTTAAAGTGATGCATAAAATGTTATTTATTATTAGAAAAGACTTAAAGTTACCCAGTATTTGTCACTAAAGTCACTAAAGAATTCTTCCTCTAGGGCTGACTTGCTGATTATGAATGTGTCCATATTTAGGTTAGCTGGTCCTTCAGAACTCACTGATTTATGGTTCACAGATTCTATTCTAGTATCTTTTTGCAAAGAGAGATATTTCTTCTTCATTAAACCTGAACTACCATCTTGTTCTTCACAGTCCTTGCAGAACATTTCTGGCAGCGATCCAGAAATCACAAATGTCAGTTTTTTATGCTCTTTATGTGATTGTTCCTTGGAGATTAGTGACTTAAAATTGTCAAGGACAGTTAGGGGTTTTTGCATCATCTCCAGTTTCTCTTAGGTATCACCTCTTTTTAGCTTCCCCCCCCCTTTTCTTTCTGTCCTTTCTAGTCGAAAAAGCATATGCAGAAGCAAATAGGAGCTTAATAGTTCTGGTATCCCTTAGAGGCATTAACATCACCCCATTCATCCTGAGCAAAAATGGAAACTCTTCTTTCATCCTTTTTTTTTTTAACTCCCAGTTTAGCTAAAAAGTCATGACATCTTGATGTCCTTCACTTTTCTCACCATTCTCAGATCATTCTGAGCTGGAACACTCTTGACAAAATTTTTAACAAGGTTGTGTTGTATCCATTGTCCAATATGTGCTATTACCTCTATTTCATGTATGTGCCTTTAAAAAAATTGGTTAATTGTGCCTTGTGCATCTGCAGCAATCTTTTTTAGACAACTCCCTCTCTTCTTCCCCTAAGAGACTGTTTCTCAGTGTCTTCATTCTAGAACACTGAAAGGGCCCTGATTCTGGAATCAGGGATCATGGATTCAAAACCTGACTCAGACTCCAATATGACCTTGAGCGAGTTACTTAATCTCTCTTTGTCTCAGTTTCCTCATGTGCAAAATGAGGGAATTGGACTAAATAGTGTGAGAGGTCCCTTCCAGCTCTAGATCTGGGATCAGATGATCCAATAATCCCTCTTGAATGGACTTCCCCTGGAGAATTTTAGTCCATTATACTCATCACGGTGTAATGAAATGGATGCTGGATTTGGAGTAAGTGGAAAGATACATTAAAATCCCATTACTGATGCTTAATAGCCATAACTAGGCAAGTCAGCTAAGCTTTATTAATGTTAATTTCCTTATCTATAAAATGGGTATAGAAATAATTATAATACACTCGCAGGTCTATTGTGAGGATTAAAATAATTTATAAACATTTTTCACACTTTAAATTATTATATAAATATCATCCTCTAGCTTGCTGCTATCTACCACTATCTATTCTACCTAGAAATGGGCTGGAGCCACCTACAACTAAATAGAGGAAGCTAATCGTTAAATTTATTTGAGTATTCAGACCTCTTAAATCAACAAATACTATAAATCAAGGCTTGATTTTTTTTTGTCATTGCTGTTGTTGATTTTCTGGATTGAAAAAAAAAGTGATGGAAAAATGTTAATAATGCAGAATAAACTTTTACCCCAGAAAGCTAGTTGTTAAAACATTTACTAGCACCCTGCTAATTACCAGACTATATACTTGGCTGTCTTCTCCTCTATCACAGATTTAATATAAAGTTTTCTCCTTTACCCAAGTGTTATAGGCCAAGCCTGACTCAGGCAATACAGTGGTTTAGACTAGAATAGAGGTTTTGTTTAATCATTTTTTAGCCACATCCAACTTTTCATGACCCAATATGGGGACTTTTTGGCAAAAATAAGGGAGTGCTTTGCCATTTCCTTCTCCAGCTCATTTTACAGATGAGAAAACTGAGCCAAACAGGGTTAAGTGACTTGTCCAGAGTCACACAGCTAGTAGGTGTCTGGAGTCAGATATGAAGTAGAAGTGAAATATTGGCTCCCATTTATATAATACTTTGTGGTTATAGGATGCTTTTCAGTAGATTGTCTTATTTGATCCTTACAAGAACCGTATGAAGCATGTTTTATAAAAAGGAAACAGGCTCAGATATGTTAAATGCTCAAGGTTTTACAGTTAGTAAGTGCAGAGCTGATGTGAACCCATGACAAAAGCAGGCTTTTAGGAAAATCAACCAACAGTGGAGATCTATATCACTTGACAGGATCATAGGCTTAGAGATGGAAGTGATCTTAAAGGTCAACTAATCCTACCCTTTTATTTTACAGTTGAAGAATTTGAGGCCCAAAGTAACATGAGGAGTAAGCGGAAGAAGCAGAAACATGAATGCGGTCAAATCAAAGTGAGACAGAAATATTTGGTCTATTGGATTTGTTCTGAATTGAATATTGTATACCCATACTTAGAAAAGCACAAACTAGATGATTAATATTCCCTTTTAGAAAGGCCTAGCAAATATGAAAAATTATTGTAACATTCAAACAGTATGCCAATACCTTCCTACAAGCATATGTATATTGATGAGCCACTTGATACTCTATGATTTTCTAATAGTAAGAATTGATAACAAACTTCTGGTTGTCACAGTTCCTAATCAATGAAGAATTCAACTGGTGAAATAAAAATTATGGGACTCTATAATACAGTAGAGATCTCTCTCTTTCTCTCTCTCTCTCTCTCTCTCTTTCTTATTCTGTCTTTCTGTTTCTCTCTGTATGTCTTATTTCTGTCTCTGTCTCTCTATCCTTGTGTCTGTTTCTCTGTCTCTCTGGCTCTGTCTCTCTCCCTCTGAGTTATTCTTTGAGAATGCATGATTAGAAAAGGAATAGGACCAACCATGTAGTGAAAGTGAGTCATGGCAGATGGGCAGTCCATGTGCTTACACTGGTATCTATAAGATTTTAAAAGAGCCAGAAGACAGTTTCCCGCACTAGAGGTAGATACTCTTAGGAAGATCTATGGGAAAAGACAGACAAGAATCATTATTGGTGTGGATGGATCAGTTTCAAATTGTACCAGTGGAGGCAGCATCTGTATCAGTGAGATCTTGATGTGTTAGGATACAGCTGATGTGCTGTGATATAATATGATGAAATCATTGGGATTTTAAAGTAAAGAGTTTCCCCACATCTTGTGATCATCTCTGTCAGGAATTTTCAGCAGGATTCTCAGTAACACATAGAAGTTATAAACAGGTGCTCTGAAAGTAGATTACTTTGGTGAAATGAAAGCCTTTCTCTCAAGAGAGGGCTTTCCAGACCTTGGTTCTTTATTTTGATCCATCAAGTGAAGATTTCACAGCCAGACTAAATGGCATTAGGCATCTTTTTCCTGGAAATTGTAAAAACAAAATTATTTCAATGGTTTTTTTGCTTGTAATTTATCCAGCTACATGTACATACATGGTCATATATTTCTGTACATAAATATCTAAATACCACTAGACTGATTCTTATGCAATGGAAAAGATGTATTCTTTTAAAAGCTTAGACTAAAAAAAAAACAGACAACAAAAACAATATAAAAACAAAATGGTTTTCTATAATAATAAGTAACTGTGGGAAAGATAAGCGAGCCTTTTCTTAGTGTTGATACAACTTCCTGAAACACCCCCTGTTTGATTATTCTGCAAGGAGATAAAACATTCAGACAACAGGTTAGAAACTGATGCTGTTTGCTGGACTTTAACCATCTTGTATTCTCAATGCTCAGCACTATTCCTGGTACATAGTAGGCACTTAATATTGCTTATTGATTAATTGACTTATTTATAGAAGCGTCATGTATTTCAATACTCAGATGCCGTATTTGACATTCAGGACACATTCTAAGATAGGTTGTGAAGTAGGTGAAGTCCTGTGGTCATACCTTGCCCCTTCTTTTGTCTTTGTCCCTCTGTTATGCCTGTGTCAGTAACTGGTAAGGGATGAGGAAGGACTAGCACAAGACGTTGCACACAGCTACCCCTTAATCAAAGTTGGTTGGATTGAATTAAGGCTTTTAATAATCTTCAAACTTGGTAGGGGATATTAAGCTACCTTCATGAAAGCTCCATCCTTAATTACACTGCAAAATGGCCAACACTGTCTTGTGTACATTCATATCACTCCTGGCCTCTTAGATAACAATCTCTTAACTAAAAATGATAGTAATCATTGACCTTTATTTAAAAAAACCAACAAACAACAACCTAGTATTTCCACAGCACTTTAAGGTTTCTAAAGCACTTTACATAATATTATCTCATTCGACCCTAACAAGCACATTGTGAGATAGATGATGTTGTTATTCCCATTTCACAGATGAGAAAACTTAGGCTGAAAGAGATTAAATGATTTTTTTAGGGTCACACAGTTCACAAGTGACTGAGGTAGAATCATGAACTCATGTACTCAAAACTCCTAAGTCCAAAACTCTATCAACTATGCCACCAAATTGCCTCTCAAAAGCCACAGCCATAGTGTATTAGAGTAATTTCCTCTGAGTCTGGAAAACCTGTATTCAAGACCCACTTTTAACACATACTAGCTGTGTGACTCTGGGCAAGTCACTTATCTTCTCTCCATCCCAAAGCAATTCTCTAAATAGCAGAACAGGCACTGTTCTGCATTGTCAGAGGAAGTTTTCTCACAGAAGTTCCTTATGCCAACAAAATCAAAGATCTGGTTTAAAAAAAATACCTGACATTTAGACTGCTTTGTAATCTAGAAAGCACTTTATATTTTCTTTTTTTGTTTGTTTTTTTTAAATTTTATTAATTTATTTTGATTTATCAACAATCACTTCCATATTCTTTTGAGTTGAAAATTTTTCTCCCCCTTTCTCCCCCTACCCTCCCCAAGACGACACACAATCTGATATAGACTTTACATTTACATTCCTATTAAACATATTTTCACATTAGTGAAGTTGTAAGTAAAAATTAAAACCAATAGGAGGAACCATCAGAAAGATGAAACAAAACTTAGCAGAAGGTAAAAATAAGTGATAGCGATTCAACTTCCATAGTTCTTTCTTTGGATGTGGACAGCATTTTCCATCACGAGGCCTCTGGATATGTCTTAGATCCTTGTATTGCTGAGAAGGGTTCAGTGTAACAATATTAGTCATCGCATAATGTGGCTGTTATTATGTACAAAGTCCTCCTGGTTCTGCTCACTTCACTCGGCATCAGACCATATAAGTCTTTCCAGGTTTTTCTGAAGTCAGCCTGTTCATCATTTCTTATAACACAATAGTATTCCATTACATTCATATACCACAACTTGCTCAGCCATTCACCAATTGATGGGCATCCTCTCAATTTCCAATTCTTTGCCACCACAAAAAGAGCTGCTATGAATATTTTTGTACATGTGGGTCTTCTTCCCATTTGTATGATCTCTTTGGGATATAGCCCTAGAAATGCTATTGCTGGATCAAAGGGTGTGCACATTTTTGTAGCCCTTTGGGCATAGTGCCAAATTGCTCTCCAAAATGGTTGGATCATTTCACAACTCCACCAACAATGTATTAGTGTTCCAATTTTCCCACATCTTCTCCAACATTTATCATTTTCCTGTTTTGTCATGTTGGCCAATCTGATAGGTGTGATGTGGTACCTTAGAGTTGTTTTGATTTGCATTTCTCTAATCAATAACAATTTGGAGCATTTTTTTATATGCCTATAGATGGCTTTAATTTCTTCATCTGAGAACAGTCTGTCACTTTATATTTTCTCATTTAAGCCTCATAATGATCTTGTGCCATAGTTGTTTATAGTTATCATTGACTTCATCTTATGCCCCCATATTATCCCCACTTTCCTTCCAGCTCACTCTGCAATTCACCTCATCTCCACTCCTGATTTCCTCTACCCCTTTCTTTATTTTCTCCCCTGTCAGAAAATAAGTTCCTTGAGAGTAGGGATAATCTTGTTTTCTTGTTGTTTTATATTCCAAGCACTTAGCACAATGCCTGGTATGCAGTAAGCACTTAATAAATAAAATAAAGCACTTAGGTAAATTTATCTGTATCTATTTGTCACGGATGAGGAAATAATGTCTCAGGGTTGAACAAATGTTCCAGTAGATGAATGAGTCTACTCATTTGTGTCTTTATTCACCTTCACTCCATCTATCTACTCAATCATACTGTTTCTACCTCCACAGCATCTCCTGTATCTGTTCTCTTCTCTCTATTCACCAACTTGTTTAAGCCCCCAAATGCCTCTTGTAAGACTCAGCAAAATGACTGTAAGTGCTTAATAAATGCTTATTGACTTGACTTGGACAATAACAATAGTTTCCTAATTGTTATTGTTGTTTCAAGTGTTTCCCCTTTCCAATCTGCATTTCATACAAGTACAGACATGATATTCCTAAAGTGGACCATGTGACTTCTTGGCTCAGTAAACTCCCAGTAGTTTCCCAGTGTTCAAAGGATCTTATGTAAACTCTGCTGAGCAACTTGGCTCCCTTTCCAGGTTTCTAACATACTTCTGTCCTTATGTCTTCTCCAGACCAGCCAAATTGACCTGGTGCTTTCTCACACTAACATTCCATCTTCCATATCCATGTGTTTGCACAGGCTATCTATTCACCTGCCAGGAATTCACTTACTCTTCACGTCCACTCAATTCTTTCAAAGCTCAGTTCAAGTAATATTTCTACATAAGATCTCCATTTCCCCCCCAGTTTTGCTAGTGCTTCTCCACTAAAATTACCTTGAATTCATTTTGCACACCATTTGCATAAACTTATGTACATACTATTATTTTTCTGAATAGGACATAAACCCCTTGAAGTCAAGGACTATTTCTCTTTTGTCTTTGTATCCTTTCATGCCACATGACCCATTGTTAAGTCCTTAATACAATCTTACTGATTGATTGATTGTGGGATTGATTTGATTTTTTTAAACATTTTTTAAAAAATTATTTTTAGGCAATTGGGGTTAAGTGACTTGCCCATGGTCACACAGCTAGTAAGTGTCAAGTGTTTGGTCTGAGGCTGGATTTGAACTCAGGTCCTCCTGACTTCAGGGCTGGTGCTCTATCCACTGAACCTAGCTGCCCTGATTTGATATATATTTTTTTAAAATGTTTTGCTGATTGAACACTGATTGAATGTCGCTGGTAGATACAAAGGCACCACAATATCACTAATACAGAACACAGTGCCTGGCACATAATAGACGTATGTATAATAAGTGTTTATTGAATTGCCTGCAATTAACCTTTATGTAAAAGTAGTTGGGATCAACTTGATAGTAAAAGAAAAAAGGAACAAATCTGCATTCTGAGCATAAACAATTGGTCTGTCTTTGTTTTTTTTAGGCCAATGTATATGTGGACAAATATCA